TAGTTATTCAACACCAACGCTTCTTCTATCTGTTTTAATTCATCATTTAGATCTTTTTTTGTGCTACTTAGTGCCACTGCTCGGTTTGTTAAACATTTAACTAAGCCTGCCTTAACAGTTAAAGGATGAGACGAATTAAAGTCTAAATATCTATTAGAATGCGTTGGTTTTCTATAAACACTAGTGTGTAGTTTGCCTTCTTCTATTCTTTTTATCTTACAATCTAACATAGCTAATTCTCCTTGTTCATTTTCTGATTCAAATGTGAATTTTATTCCCTCAACTTGTGAGTTTATATGTGTCAAGAAGCTAGAGATGTGTTCTGTTTTTAGCACTGTGAAAGTGTCATCCACATATCTCCACCATATTTTCGGAGTAGGGTTAAATGTATTGAGGGCACTATTTTCCCAGCTGTCCATAAATATGTCTGCTACGATAGGGGATATTGGTGATCCCATTGCTACACCTTCTGTTTGTCTATATATTTTGCCTTGGAACTTAAAGATAGTAGATGTGAGGCATAACTGAATTCCTAAAATAATTTCTTCAATGGACAGCTTTGTCCTATGACTGAGTTCCGGATCCGCAGTTAATTCTTTTTTAACTGCTTCTAAGGCCATATTAACTGGTATATTAGTATAAAGACTAGTTATATCAAAACTAACCATTGTTTCATCATTCGCTAGTTGAATGTCATTTATTTTATTTTTCATCTCATATGAATTAGTTAATCTAGAGTTTGAACGATTTCTAATGGGGCATAGTATTAGAGCTAAGTGTTTTGATAGTTCATACGTGGGGGTATTTCTAAAATCTACTATTGGTCTTATGGGGTAACCTGGCTTATGTATTTTTATAGTACCATATATTCTACTAGCATTATTAGTTTTAGGCATTAAATTAAACCATTTAGACTCACCCAGGGATGGCTTCATTCTGCGTATTAGTTCCGCTGTAGATTTCTTAACCTTATTCATTATTGTATCCACAGGCTTCTTAATTTCCTCATATGGACCCATTTGAATATGTTCAGTAACTTTTTTGATGTAGTCAGATTTATCCAATACTACGGTGGCGTTTCCTTTGTCAGCTTTTGCGATGACAATGTTTTTATCCTGTTTAAGACTAATTAAAGCTTCCCTTTCTGATTTTGTTAAGTTTGATTTTGTTTTCTTTTGATTTTTTAGTGTTAATGCACATTGTGCTCGAACCTCTTCTGCTGTAGTCTTATCTATTGAGTTTAGTGCTGCTTCTATGTTAGGAATGACGTCCTCTGGTTTTAATTTATTAACTGTTACGTTAAAATTTAGTCCTTTTTCAAGTACTTTTATCTCATTAGAGTTTAGTTCCCTTGATGAGAGGTTGATCACCCACTTTGTTCTGTCGATAGAGGATGCAGCATTCATATCTGTTTCATTTGTTGTGTTCTTTTCTTCTATTAGTTTGTTGAATTTTTTGATTTGCGTGATTTTTGATTTTCTTAATGCGGATTCTCTGGCTTTGTTGGATGTTTCAACAACAATTATATAATCTTTGTCATTGATCATACATTTGAGTTTGTGTTTAAGTTTTTCAATTTGATTTCGTATATTATTTAGTTTTACAGTAACTCTATGTAATTCTTCTCTTAGACATAATTTACTGACATGTTCTGCGGCTGATGTTATTTTGTTTGAAGTAATTGGAGTACGTAGACGTAAATATTTTGGAATTATATGGCTTTTTAAACATCGACTGTTAAAAATCCGATGATTTGTAAATCTTGCTTCAGTTTGACTAAGTCGTGTGAGTTTGTTGATAAGCTTCCTAGTAGGAAGACCATATGTATCATTAATATAAGAATAAAACTTGTGCACTGTGGTAGAGTGTAATTCCATTATGGGTAAATTTTGTTTTGATAAAGTCTCACAGTGTTATACAGTAATGTTTACTGATGACGTTTCGAGCACAATTTATTGCTCATAATCATATCAAGGTAATCACACGACTTCCTAAATTCATTTATATAGTTCCATTGTTTTTCTCTTGATTTTCACTTGATTTGATTGGTAGTAGTATTTTCCATATTTCAGGTATGAGTGACGAGTCATTCCTATTGCATGTGTTGGGTGTAGACTCGATGAACAAGGATTCAGTAATCAACCTCTCTCTCCACCTACCTAGATTACTTTTTAGAATTTTAACTCTCTCCCACCCTATTGTGTGGTTGTGTGTTAGCGCATGCATTGCAATTGCTGAGCTTTTTTCTAAATTACTTATCTTCTCGGGGTCAACCATTCTTACCTTAGCTAAATTTTTATGCTCTGACAATCTGACTACCCCTGACCTACTAGTTTGACCTATGTAGTTGACCTCACAGTCATTGCATGGTATTTTGTAAATAATATTATTTTGTCTAATTGGGTCAACTGGGTCCTTTAACCTACAGAGCTTGTCCCTGAGTGAGTTTGTAGGTTTAAATGCCACCCTAATTCCTATTTTATTCAGAATCCTACGTAGTGTCTCAGATGTCCCCTCTTTATATGGTATAACTGTGGATGACTTATATTCTTTCTTATTTATGTTATTATTACTAGTTTCACAATTATTTTTATTTTGTTTTTGGCCTTTAGTGATCTTCCTAATGAATTTTATAGGATAGTTATTCAACACCAACGCTTCTTCTATCTGTTTTAATTCATCATTTAGATCTTTTTTTGTGCTACTTAGTGCCACTGCTCGGTTTGTTAAACATTTAACTAAGCCTGCCTTAACAGTTAAAGGATGAGACGAATTAAAGTCTAGATATCTATTAGAATGCGTTGGTTTTCTATAAACACTAGTGTGTAGTTTGCCTTCTTCTATTCTTTTTATCTTACAATCTAACATAGCTAATTCTCCTTGTTCATTTTCTGATTCAAATGTGAATTTTATTCCCTCAACTTGTGAGTTTATATGTGTCAAGAAGCTAGAGATGTGTTCTGTTTTTAGCACTGTGAAAGTGTCATCCACATATCTCCACCATATTTTCGGAGTAGGGTTAAATGTATTGAGGGCACTATTTTCCCAGCTGTCCATAAATATGTCTGCTACGATAGGGGATATTGGTGATCCCATTGCTACACCTTCTGTTTGTCTATATATTTTGCCTTGGAACTTAAAGATAGTAGATGTGAGGCATAACTGAATTCCTAAAATAATTTCTTCAATGGACAGCTTTGTCCTATGACTGAGTTCCGGATCCGCAGTTAATTCTTTTTTAACTGCTTCTAAGGCCATATTAACTGGTATATTGGTATAAAGACTAGTTATATCAAAACTAACCATTGTTTCATCATTCGCTAGTTGAATGTCATTTATTTTATTTTTCATCTCATATGAATTAGTTAATCTAGAGTTTGAACGATTTCTAATGGGGCATAGTATTAGAGCTAAGTGTTTTGATAGTTCATACGTGGGGGTATTTCTAAAATCTACTATTGGTCTTATGGGGTAACCTGGCTTATGTATTTTTATAGTACCATATATTCTACTAGCATTATTAGTTTTAGGCATTAAATTAAACCATTTAGACTCACCCAGGGATGGCTTCATTCTGCGTATTAGTTCCGCTGTAGATTTCTTAACCTTATTCATTATTGTATCCACAGGCTTCTTAATTTCCTCATATGGACCCATTTGAATATGTTCAGTAACTTTTTTGATGTAGTCAGATTTATCCAATACTACGGTGGCGTTTCCTTTGTCAGCTTTTGCGATGACAATGTTTTTATCCTGTTTAAGACTAATTAAAGCTTCCCTTTCTGATTTTGTTAAGTTTGATTTTGTTTTCTTTTGATTTTTTAGTGTTAATGCACATTGTGCTCGAACCTCTTCTGCTGTAGTCTTATCTATTGAGTTTAGTACCCATAATGGAATTACACTCTACCACAGTGCACAAGTTTTATTCTTATATTAACGGATAAAGAACTTCATCTGGAAGGAAAACAGTCATGCTTAACAAGTTCAAACAGCATACGTTAACTATCATCGGGAAGGGAAGAAAGAAGGAAATTGCAACACATGTAATAGCACGCAATAAGTTTCATTGATTGTTTGTTGCTTCATTCAATTCATTGTATGAGGGCTGAGATACTGCCCTGGCGCCTAGACCGAAGCAGGTGGTTTTATTAAGGGACCACCCACCGAGCCTTTGATTTGGAGTCTAATCCGCAAGGCAGAGGAGCAGCGTCAGGAGCTGCGTTCCCATGGTTTCCGGTGACCCATATGGGTTCATACGCCATTTGATCCGATTGGATACTGGAACCCATGTACCCCATGGTAACTGCTTTTAGTCTAACCGCTGTCCAGAAAACCTTCCTGACATGGTAGGACCTGCAGGGACAGAGTCCCAGTCAGTTTAGCATATTGGGTCATTACGGTATTCAAGCCCGACCACCACGACAAGGTAGCAGTTATCGACCGGTGTGTGTGTGTGTGAGCGAGTGGTGTTTCGTTAAGCCAGTTACCATATTTTCTATTTCAATAAACAAAACCCAATCAATAGTCTTATTGCCTATTTTTATGTGTCTTTTTCGTTTACCATTCTTCTTTTTTATTGTTCATACAACATGGTGCTGTCTGTACTCATTCCCGCCCCCCCTCTCCCAGTGATATCTCATCCAATCCTGAAATATTTGTTTAAATAAATATACAAATTAAATATTCATTGTATATAAAAAGTGAACAGATTGTGATAATAACTAATTTATTATTGTTCTACTTTTTATAATAATGAGGTATTTGTTTGTTTCTTTTATGTATTTTTATTTAGTTTTGAATTTGATTAATAGATTATTAAGAGGGATTAACTTCTCTTGCCTATTATATTAATTTTCTTCAGGCTTTTATTGTTTACAAGATACCAGAATTGACTTATAATCATTCTTTTAATGTTGTTAAGCATTCATTAGTTGTTTACAGTTAATTTCATTCTCATTGGTTTGTTTCTTCTTCTTCTTCTTTTTCCATCTCCCTTACAGGGTGATCGTATGAATGATCAACGCGCTAATTTATCTGTTTTCCCGGGGCTACGTTCTGGACCAGGTCTTTATGTTCTAGAAGGCAATAATCGATATTTTGGTTCAACTAGTTCAATGTTCAAGTCAACAAGTAGTGGTGCAAGTGATGGCCTACCAGAGCCTAAATTATATAGTAGTAATAGTGGCGGTGTAACTGGATTACTCTCAGATAATTCGTCTGCGCCAAGAGCTGGAGGCAGTGGAGGTGGCGGAGGAGGAGGAGGTACACGTGGACGACGTAGTCATATTATATCTGGTGGGGAATTAGATGATGAATTTTTAGAAATGATATTTCGAATACAGGTATGTGTGTATGTAACAGTTTTTTGGTGTTTTCCGTGTCTTAAAAGTATCGTTAATTGTTATGGACTAGGTGATATAATACTGTGTAAGCTGTAAACATTCATAGTTGCAATGAGATGGATTATATAAGTCCACTGAATTTGGGAAATGTATCCAATTCACCAGAGGAATACAAATACATTTTTCAACGCAGTAGGTATTTGTCATTGATGAGTACAGACAAGCACGAAACATAGATCATATACGGTCTCTCTTTCGTGGCTTTACTCCTTTTTGATCCAGACATATTTCGCATTGTTCATAGGTCGGTTTTCCGCTTTGATCGATTTAAATAGATGTCGACAAAAGCTATGTAAAATGACTTCTAATTGGTTGACATGAGTAGTTCTTTTCAGTCAGACCGAAGGTAGGTAGGTAGGTAGGTGGTTGCTTCGCTCATTTGGAGTTGAGCTCATATGTGGCGTTCCCCGTTAACATTAGCTCAGAGTGCTGAGGTTGTAGCTGGCAACCCCTACCGGTTAGCATGAGTTGTTTTCAACTTCTGATTACAATCAGAGTACATCCCATTGTTCTTTGGTTTGTGCTTTCTTAATTTCCCTTTTTAATGACATGTTGTGATCTGGATATTTTGAGACACCAGCATTATGTATACAAAAAAGAAAATTATTCAACCATTTCTACTATCATCGTAAAAAATCTTGTTTACCTCCAACCTGATTCTGTTTGTCTGGTTTTTAATTCATCATGACTCTTGTATATCTTTCAGTGTCTTACGTAATGTCACATTTTCCTCGGTTTCTATGTGTCTTCATTACTAACAGTTAATATTACTGTATAACAACACTGTGTGATTTATCAAAAATCTTAAAATCTTATCCATAACGAAGTTATACTTTACTACAGTGCCCAAGTTTTATACTTATTTCTATGTGTCTTGATAACAACTTAAATTATCGTTAAATTATTCGTCTTGTTACGTAACTATAATACCCTCATTTAAGTCTTATTTGCATTGACTGGGCGTCGGTGGCACAGCGGTAGAATGCTAGCCAACCACGCATGTGGTTCAGGGTTCAACCTCCGGCCGACTCACTCCTTCACTTTGCTAAGTCAGTAATGAGACTGGTAAAGAGGGAAGGTTGGGCATAAGGATAGCAACCACATTCCATAAAGATAAACACCACTGCTAAGGGAACTTCAAAACTCTAACTTGAAGCCCTATATATTCCCCTGGGAACGTAAAGGAATAAAAAAAAATGCATTGACTAACATTGACAGTTGTCAGTATGACAGCTCATCATCTTTCATGAAAAAAAAGAATTATATAGATGCGATTGTGCATAGCTAAGGCGAAAATGAATTCGCCGAAAAGATCCTTCTAACTGAATCATTTGTTCTGTTTCCTTTTTATTTTGATTTTTTTTGAAGCAATTTTCGGTGTACTATCAGGTTGATGACTAATGTGACTCCATCATCACTCTTGTCATTCCATTTTGCTGTTTCGTTATCTAACTTGAATATTCAAGTATTGGTTTTGTAGGGATTTTTGTTTGATTGTATGGAGAAATTCACCATCAGCTGACATCAGTTAGAGCACCACTGGAAAACCTGAGAGTACTGGACAGCTGTTTGGTCCTAGCTTGGGACTCTTTGTCAGTATGCACCCACGGGGGTTCCAACCCAGGACCTTCTGGTTACAAGGCAAGCTCGTAAACCATTGAGCCACTGGGACCCGATCGAATGGTCCTTGAATTCTAACTTCTTCCAATTCACGACAGAGCACGACCACCTCGCAATGTCTTCTTCGGTGAGTTACTGCCTCATCTTCGACCTGCTGTAACCTACTGGTCACGGCTTCCCATTAGAACCCAGGTTAACTACCTGAATAGGGCCAGTCACTAGTGAGCATCAGAATTATTTTCAAGTATTGGTTTTGAGCTGAAGAGTCCCAAATTAGGAAGAAACAGCTGTCCAGTACTCCCAGATTTTCCAGTGGTTCTCTAACTGATGTCAGCTGATGGTGAAATCCTCCATACAATCTAATTGGAATAGTTTATATATACGTATATATTGTCCAGGAAGTCAAGTGTGAGGATATTTACATATTGGCAAGTCTTGATGGTAGTGATGACGTTAAAGTCCACGTCTTTGAAGAAGTTTGGATTCATAGACTGTGCTATTTTCACTCATTGACACCTAATGTTTATATAATCTTGGAAGGGTGGATTCCTTTCAGCATCAAAAGTGCAAACTCTGCACTAAAGTCCTAAAACCGGTATGATATTGGTCTCTGGAGAACGTTGACTTTCAGTAGTTACTAGTAGTGAAATTTACCTTGAAATTAATAATAAGAAATAATATTTCAAGCTTTTAAGATTTGATTTTCTGATCTTCTCTTTTTTTTCTCTAGACGTGTACACGAATAAATGATCAACGAAGTAATTTACCCGATCCCCTAACACAAATTCGATCTCAAACTGATCAGCCTAACTATGGTAGGAGTAATGTTTCAACTTTAGTTGTTGAAAGGGTAAGAGCACCAACAGCGACTCCAGATGCAGCAGCAACAACAACAACTGCCTCCAATCCACACAGAGAATTATCACCATACACTTCATCTAGTGGATCGTGTAATCTTACAAATCGGTGTTCAGCACCAGCTATTTTAGATGATGATGATTTATTTACTTTAATTCAACGTGTTCAATCTACCCGTTTAGATGAGCAAAGATGTCATCCCCCACTGCAACAATCACAATCTTGTATACCAACATCCTCGTCAATGGGTTCGGTGGCTAATTCAGTTTCCTCGGCACTTTCATCAGGAAATAACAGTAATAATAATAGTAATAATTCTAGTATTGTTCATAAATCAAGTAGTCGACGCCGTCTAGGCAGTCGGAATAGTAAACGGAGTAATAATCAAAATAAATGAGAATGAATTCATTCGATTTTGAAGAGAAAAAAAAATACATTTGAAATTTTCTAGGTGTGTTTGTGTGTGTGTGTGTGCATGTGTGAGAAAATTTTTATTACTTCAATCAAATTGACTTGACTATTTTTGTTTTTCCTATTAATTTTGTCTTCTTTTTGGTTATGGAGGTTACTTCACTCTAAAGGATTTCTTCTCATTGTGTGTTTTATTCTCTCTGATCTCTCGTTAGTTCACTATTTTCATGATAGTTTATCCTCATGGCAGAGAGAAATCATTTTCGAATATCATCATCACACAAGTACAAAATACAAACGACGATATTTCTTGTTGTTTATTTTTTGTCTTGTAAAACTTTCTTTACAGCCAGCATTAATTACTTAATCAAGTACCTTGTGGCATTTATTATCACGTGTTTCCAAAGCTTAACACATGAAAAAGTATAATTATCATTCCTCATTTCATTGTATTCACACGATTTGCTAATTGTTCTACTACCTGTAATCGGATTCGATGTATTCAGCAATTTTTTTGTACTAATATACGCATATTTATATATACATATATATTACAAGTGATGAAAGTGGATATTTTAATAATGACCTCCAGTTAATCCGCCTAGTTAAAAGTTCTAGTTCTCTAGTCTGTTTTCTTTTCTCTCTCTCTCTCTCTCTCTAATATGAATAAGTCAGATGAAGAAGACTAAGAAGGCTGTTGTACAAAAGAGTAATTCTCTATGCATTTCTACACTGTTTTCTTTTTGCATCTATTATCCTGTATGTATGTATCTGATCTTATGTAATCCTAATGATGTGTATGCTTTTTGCCATTTGTGTGTGTGTGTGTACTCATATATATAAACACACACCTATAGTATGCTTTTACACCTTTCTGTGCGTGCTGTACTCATACTTTGTCTTATTCATCATTGAACTTCTTATACATGTTTGTACAGATAAGTGTATTTATTTTCTTCTTCTTCTAAAGAAACTTATTCGTTAGTAAATGCTTTAGATGTTCTAGATTTGTTTTATCTGTTGTGGTTGTTTTGTTCCATCTTTTTTTTTGCAGTCTTTCGTCCTCACGCTTTATGGTCGTCGTCCCCTCCCTCTTCCCTAACCTCTCTATCTCTCTCTCTCATACACACACGCAGTGTAATCCTTATCCTTTGCATTCTTTTTGTTGTCTTCTCATATTTATTTTGCACCATCCATCATTGATCTGTGCTCTCAATGTACCTTTATTGCTGTCTTCATTGTTTTCTTTTCGTTATTATCATTTTCCTTGTTCCATTCCTACTCGTTTTTATGTCAGAACGAATTATTTGATTAGTAAAACCGATGCTTGGATATATATATATATATATATATATATATATATATATAGAATTATATAAATGTGTGAAACTGGTTTATTTTGTTGACTCGCTGACAAGAGAGATAAGTGCCTGCAGCATATTTATGAGCTATATTATTATTGTTATTATTACTTCGAGATATTGTATCTAGCGCTGAAAGTGTTATGGTAAAGTATTTATCCTGAATGATTGGTGGAAATATAGCTGATTGGCTTAAGCATTCAGTGCAAACTGGGTTCAAATCCCACCTCACCTACGTCACTCTAGGCAACCGGATAGTACCTTAGGCCTTTACGCAATAGGTGTGATTCATAATCTGGTGGTGCGGGAGATCTGTTCTAGACAGTTCGTGTTTCAGCTATGTCGAAAGTTTAGGCATTTTTATACATATATTCGTTCTTTTGGAGTGTAGCATCAAGTGCTGTAAGCATGAATGTTTAGAAAGCCCTCTTGTATGACTGGTGTGAATGGTGATACCGTGTCATTTTCTAATGATTCCCAGTTTGACTAACTGTCATGGTCAGCAGCACAGCTTTTAGAGCATAATTAAACAAAAGCATTTCTGCGAATTATTATATCGTAGTCTTAAACATCGTCGATAGCACTGATGATACAAGACTAAAATTTTGTCTGATATTTGAGTCCATAAAGATTTGGAACTTAATGAAAGCTTTAGAATATCAGACAATTCTAATGGGATGACTAAGGTGTGAGCTTTTGCTTATCTTCAATTTGGAGAAGGTTCTATAATTGATTTTTAAAATTTTTCACATTTTGCAGTCTGAAAACTGTGTGTAATACTTTCTATTGAGAGATTTCGTAGGAATGGTTGATTCTGAGAGAGTGTATTGCACTTATAAAGTCCTTCTCCTTGAGAATTCAAGGATAATTGTTAACAGGTAATGCATACCACAATTTCTTTATAGATTACTTTAAAAGAATCGTTTGTTGAGATCACTATTTACAAGGTGTTCAGTTATTGCACCCCTTTTTCTGCAAGCATGCAGGATAGTGTTCTTGAGCCTTCTTAGACAGTATATGCAACGAATGACCAATATACCTGATCCCACAGCAACTGATATATATGGTCAGATGCGAAATATCGCCCCTATCGTCTCTTAAGAACTTTGGAAAATTGGAGAACACTACTCTTAGCATTGCTGTGAAGAATGGTCTTCTCAAAGATGATGGAATTCTTTTCTGAGGTATACCTCAGATTAAGTCTTTCTCGAAATCCACGTTCATGTGAAGTTTATTTTGAGGAAAATTGTATACAAATGAGATTGTACATATAAAAAAATGATTTCTCCTAAAAGGCCCTATTTGCTGAACTTCTTGGTTTACTGTTTTTATTAATATCTCTAATTGATAGAGTTCACAGATTACTGGAATTTAGGCCATTCGGTGAAGGTCACCCCTCTATTAGGTTGTTAGTGCACACTGGAACAGGTATTCAATGCTCTTTGGTTCTCAATGATTCCCTAGTTCCTAAAGGAATCTATGCCAGGTTTCATATTTGTCCCCAGATGACTGGTTTCACCTCAATGCATGGGATATCTAAATGCGACCCCTTTACCGACATTCAATAGCAGACATTATTATTATTATATTATTATTTTATCCTTTAGTTCCTAGAGGAACATAGGGCTTCAGCTGCGCACCTCCATTGACTTCGGTTTTCTGACAACTTTTTCACCCTGCTCCAGGTCTGTCCACATGCTTTCATCTCCTCCTCGCATGACCTCCTCCAAGTCACCCTTGGACGACCAACTCGCCGCCTCCCTTTCGGGTTCCACTCGAGGGCTTGTCTAGTGATGTCACTTGATGGTTTCCTCAGCGTATGGCCAATCCATCTCCATTTCTTTCTGCCTATTTGTTTCACAATCGGTTCCTGATTGGTTCGCTCCCAGAGATCCCTGTTGCTGATCTTTTCTGGCCATCTGATCTTGAGTATTGAGCGGAGACAGTTGTTAATGAAGGTTTGAAGTTTGTTTGAGATGCTCTTTATGACTCGCCAAGTCTCTGATCCGTATAGTAGCACTGACTTCACATTGGAGTTGAAAATCCGGATCTTATTTTTGATGCTGATTGCTGTTGACCTCCACACAGATTTGAGAGTAATGAAAGCTTGTCTTGCTTTTCCGATTCTGGCTTTGATGTCCTCGTCAGTTCCGCCTGTAGTTGAGACGATGCTTCCCAGGTAGGTGAAGGAGGTTGTTTCTTTCAGGTTCTTCCCATTTATGCTTATTGTGGTCTGTTGTTGTTGATGTTGGCTAGGAATCTTCATCATCTCTGTTTTATCTATGTTCACGTGAAGTCCTATCTTTGATGCTTCTTCTGCCAACTTGTTACTTTTCACTTGCATATCTTCCAGTTTATGGGAAATCAGACATATATCATCGGCGAAATCCAGATCCTCCAAGTCTTTTGTGTCAGTCCATTTTATGCCTGTTCCCTCGTTGGTTGCCGTTGTCTGTCGCATTATCCAATCAATTGCAATCAGGAAGATCATTGGTGATAGTAGACAGCCTTGCCTCACTCCCGTCCTCACTTCGAAGGCTTCCGTAAGTTTCCCGTTGTGGATTACTTGGCATGCAGCATTGTCGTATAACTGTTGGATGAGGTGTATAATTGTCGATGGGACCCCGTAGTAGCGAAGTAGTTTCCAAATGACCTCTCGATCGACGCTGTCGAAGGCCTTTTCAAAGTCGATGAAGTTGAGATAGAGAGGTGACTGCCATTCCAAGCTTTGTTCAATGATGATCCGTAGAGTGGCGATTTGATCAATACATGATTTGTTTCTCCTGAATCCAGCCTGTTCCGGACGAAGTTTTTCATCTAGGGCTTGTTTGATTCTCTCCAGGATGATGCGACTTAGTATCTTGCTTGGAATGGACAGAAGCATAATTCCACGCCAGTTTTTACATTGACTTAAGTCTCCTTTCTTTGGAAGTTTGAATAAGTAACTGTTCTTCCAATCCTCGGGTACTTTGCCCTCTTTCCACACCTTCTCCAGTAGTGGTGTCATCAAGTCCGCTGTTGTCTCTGGGTCTATTTTCAAAGCCTCTGCTGGGATTCCATCTGGTCCCGGTGTTTTCCCAGTTTTAAGCATCTTGATTGCATTCAGGACTTCTGATTTCGTCGGGGGGTCAGTGTTCACTGGTAGTTCTGCTTCCGTTGTTGGTATTGCTGGACGTGTTGTAGGTGGCGGACGATTTAGAAGTCTTTTGAAGTGTTCAACCCAGTGCTTTCTCTGTTCCACCTCTTTGGTGATTGACTTTCCATTGTCGTCCTTTATTGGCTTAATCTGTGTCGAACGTTTGCCCGAAAGGTTCCTAGTTGTTTGGTAGAGTGTGGCGAGGTCTCCTTTGCCTGCAGCTTGTTCTGCTTCGTTTGCCATGGTTTCATAATATTTTCTTTTGTCTTCCCTGGCACTTTTCTTCACTCTTTTGTTCAGTGTATTGTAGCTTGCATTCAGCTCCTGTTTTTGTTGCTCGTCAGTGCACTGGATAATCTTTTGCTTCACTGTCCTTCTCTCTTCTATTAGTTTCCAAGTGTCCGTAGTGAGCCACTGTTTGTCCTGTCTCTTTTTTCTGCCTAGAATTTCTATGCAGGTTTGGCTCCACACCGTTTTCAAGTTGTTCCA